ATAAACACTTTAACTTTCAGCATAAAAGCAGACACTGAAGAGTCTGCTTATAATAGGTTTGCAGTATCTTTTAGCGCCTTCCAGATAAGATGTTTGACAAAAAGAGTAATGCTTTCAGACAACAGGTCCTCAGTGGGCGTTTTGTTTGAAACTGTCTATCATCGAATTGCTCCCAGCATGGCACTACTGTCCATTAAAAAATTTGCAACATTAGTGTGTACCCACAGCTCGGTGCAATTCCTATAATGACTGCTTTATTTATTCACTCCATGTCTATGAAGCTCAGATTATCATTTAATTCTAAACAAACTGCATACCATGAACAATTGCAAGAGAGCAACCCATTAAATTCAACATTTATTCAACAGCTCTAATTTGGCTGCGGTATTATGATGATTCCCCTGTTTTAAGAAATAGCTTTAGTTCTATCTATCTTGTTTTCCATAATTTTTTATAACACATTAAATATTTAGTTTCCATCTACATCATTTAAAAAGGAACTTAAAAATATAAATCCAGGCGAACTCATTGGCAGTTGCATAAAATCCAGTCTCTGTAATCACAGGCTTTTACTCAGATTTTAATACGTCTTTATAATCACTTAGAATCAGAAAAATGGGCAGGTAGACACATGCACATTTTGTAGTAAGTATGTTTTTAAAAACTGATGTATCTAATATGCAGCATAAGCTAAGGATTATTACACATGGAAAACAGTCAAAGCGAAGATGCTGGATGGAAAAAATTAAGGTATTATTTTTCCAAGTATACTGTCCACTTACCCATACTGCTAAAAGTCTATTCAAATGAAAGATGATTTTAAATTTACATCATAGATCATATTTATACATTGATGCAAAATGCTTAGCCTGAACTTTGGACCCAAAAACCTCCCACTGAATTCAAAATTTGAGCCTGAGGTTGGAGTACAGAACTGCAACTGTGCATATGCCGAGAAAGTGCCGATTAAAACATACACTTTCTACACACTAAACACAGTGTTACTTTCCAGACAGTGCCCCAGAGCAATATGAAAAATGTGGAAGAGCTTATTCAGGAATTTCTTTTAAGTCGGGATTTAAGATTTGAATGCATTTTCTGAATGCATAGTGTCATCAAATAGGGTCAGTTTGTAAGCTCTTTCTGCTTTTAATAAAGCAGAAAAAAAAAATCAAGAAATCTCTAAGTGCAAAGAAGTTACCACTTCTCCCTGCCTCAGGTAACTCTCTCGTGCAGAAGAAAAAATAACAGGGGTATATATCTTGATTTTTTATTTCCCCAAACTTCCAGTGTTCATCTATGACCTTTCATTTTCCATTGTAAAATAAAAAGCATGGCAGAACACAATACCTAACCAAATAGAAGATATGCTTAATGATGAATCAAAAGAATATAGTGGATAACAGCCAAAAGACAATTTTAAAATTCCATTTGTTCTGACTATATGCCATAAAGATATAAAGAATGTACTTGATAAAGGCTGTTTTCCCTGGAAATATTTATCACGGGAGATGTTTATCAAATGAAGTAAGTTATTTCTTGACCGAAGAGCAAGAAATGTAACTGTTTTCTAATCTTGTTTTAAGTCATGAGCAGTGCCTTGAAGGAGTCCCTGAAGAGGTTACTGTTCAAAGGTTGCAATGAATATTATCAACAGAAAACATCCCACCATGTCCTCTAGTTGAGATCTCTACTTGTCAGCAATATAATTTACCTACTCCCTTACCTCCCTGTACTCAGAGAGATGAAGCCTAACGTTGCCAGGACCCTTCTCCTTCCACTTTTAGAAACACAACATGCTTGAGCTTATTTCTATTATTTTTACAGTTCATGACAGTCATGGCTATCAGACAGCAGCTGTCACAGATGGTAAACTGTACTACGACATAGTTCTAGCTACGCTATTTTTCCAGTTCATATGCAAACTCAGCAGCAAGAAATACAGAAGACAAGGGACAAAAGAGCAGGAAGGGCATAGAGAAAGAAAATCCTTTCCACTCATCTTCATTTAAAGTGAGATGTGCAGACTAATCCTTCTCAATTTCAATTTGCAGCCTACACTGTGAGCCAAGATCTGACAGGGGAAGATTGACTGGTGCTATTTGGTTTCCTGACTGCAGGAAGTTATACACAGGCCACAAGAAACAACCAGTCACAATTTCCTCTACAAACAGAATTTAGCAGAGAAAAAATAAACAAATGAACAAGGATTAAAAACCAGAATGGTTCCAAGTAATTATAGATTTTAAAAAAGGGGATCAAATAGGAAAAAAAAAAATTGCAGCAGCTACTTAAAAAGATAAACTAGGGAAATTAAAAAAAAATGATAGGGTGAATTCATGACGTGCTTGATGCCAAAAGATCCAGAGAGCATACTCAGGGAGGATCTCAACAAAAGGAGGGCTTTCTAGGCAGCGAAGATGTTAAAATAGTGGCAAATAACTAGCAAGAAAGATTTCAGCATGGGCTGTACAAATCTTCCGGAGACCCAGAGATACACTCAAGCTGTAAACGCACACCATCATCTCATCGATGCGATCCCTATCCTCGCTAGCTAGTTTACAGCTACCACGGCCACATCAATCAGCAATACAGTCAGCTCTTCAGTCGCACAGACTGCCATCTGCTCACAGCGGATCACAAGCAACACCATATTTCCACCGACACACTGTGTGGGTGCACTCCCACAGCACTCGAGCCAACACAAGGCAGGGCTGCCGTGGCCCCCGACTATCTTGGCTGCGCAGTCCTTGGCCGTCGCATCAGCACTGGCACTCAAGCGATCGCGCCGGTTCAAGGAGCTGCTGGAGATGACAGCAGAAGCAACTGGTTTTGCGTGGGATCACCTGCCGGAGCTGGCTCGCTGCTCCATCGCGTTAACAGCAGCGCTGGCTCGAGGGAGGCACCAAAACCAAAACGGTGGGGCTGGGGTTAGGAGGGTGGGACTGTGGCAGATCTGCATTAGCTCAAGCGAAACTCAATGCGCATCAACCAGCCTCAAATCAGATTGTGCCTACACCCGTATCGGTCACCCAGACCATAATCGTAAATATCCATAAGCCAGCGCTGTCATCAGGGGTAGGAATCTCTCGCCTGTTAATTTCCTCCCAACGCTGATCCCATCTTTGTGCTGCCACAAACATCGGTATGATCAGAGATATGATCCTCGCAGAAATAAAAGATGGGTAGTGCTAATGGGGCTAGGTTCCCTATCCTGTTTCACTGAGCAACCGCACAAAAGCACGAAGCAGCAGGCACTGAAGGCCGGGCAGACCTTCTCCTTTTGGCAGTAATGCTGATTCAAGCCACTTCAAAATTTATTTTAAGCTACATGCTATTTACGATATACACTTACAAATCCAGAAGGAATTATCATAATAACCTACCTAGACAGGAGATAGAGAATTACTCTGTAGTCAGACTAGAACGTATTCCCCAAAAGAAAAATTCACGTGGCTTGATGAAGCCACATCCTGTGACAACTTGTTCCACTGATTGTCTAGCCTTTCAGTTGGAAAAAAAAAAAAAAAGCGCTGGCTATTTGCCACTTCCAAGCACTGGACCTTGCAATACATTTGCTGGACTGAAGGTTCTGTCCTTCAAGTCAAATTTGAGCAAGTCACCTTCTAATCTTCCCTTTATCCTCTCAATCCTCTCACTATAGGGCTTATTTTCCCATTTTATCATCAGTTTCATTACTTTTCCCTAATCTTCTCCAATTTAACAGAATCATTCCTCAACTGTGGAAGCCAGAACTGAAAACATTATTGTGACAGTGCTTGTTCCAGAGCCCAGAAATTAAGGTAAAATGTCCTCTTTATGGGGACATTTTACATTTACCACTACATTATGGTAAGTTGTCCACCAAATAGCCATCAAGATGCTCAACTATTTTTCAGAATAAGCACTTCAAGAGAAGTCTGTATTAACAGGAGTCTCTTAATGTGGCTTTGCTTGTTCCTTCCTTGACATAATAGCTTTACGTTTGATTTATTGAAATGATAGCGGCTCTCTCTCTATCTTAATAGAACAAGACAGACTAAGGAAATGGCGTATCACTCATGTGCTTCGAGGTATTCCAGTAACCATCCATCCTGCAGTCCTAGCAGTATAAGAATATAGGACTAGTCCATCTAGACCTGCAACGACACACCTAGAATCAGATGTTTCAAAGAACAGCGCAGCTGGTGGGAGTGAAGTAATCTTTTCCATGATTTCTATTTACCTCTAAAACTTAGAGACAGCCTTGAGCCCTCAGACACAACATTTTCTACATTCACTATGTGACTCAGTTAAGACAATGACAGGTATTTGTGTATCTCTATATATTTACATCTAAGTTCTCAGTCTCAGAATTTAATCCAGGGTCATTCCATTCCTTTCAGTCAGTCCATGTGAATTAAGTTCCTCAGTTTAGTCACACCTTGTGTACGAAAGCATTGACTGCCATGGTTTTTTCCATTTCCTACCTTCCCATTTCACTGACTCGCTCTTGTACCAAGAGACAGAGAGGTCCTGCTTCTCTCGAATTCCTGTTTTCGCGTGGGAGTTCTTCAGCACGGCTCTGCTAATACTAACAACAGCCTCTGCTTCCAGTGACATGACTTTTGACAAGACATGTAGCGTCACTGCCCCAAAGAACAATGTTTTTTCTGCAGATTGCCAAGACGATTATATAATAAGATTTAAAAATTGGTCTGAAGATGCAAAGGAGTATTTTTATACTATTGAAAATCACTGACCTCTCAATGCTTTCAAAACATGTCAGCTTTCACTATTTTTAGCCTTTTTTGACTGAAATAATTGTGAATTATGGTCACATAAGTAGGCATGGCATTAACTTCCACAATGATGTAAGCTTTGATGTACTGAGTTCTATATGACTCTAAACAGTTGAAACGATTAACAGCAAAGCTTACAAAATTGCAATGAGTAGAAAGCTAAAAGGAGAAGTCAGAAAGCCATTATCAGGAAGTCAGTATGTGCATCATGTAACTTACCAAACAGGCGCTGATGGAAGAGAAATTTCCCAGCTATCAGTCCTGTGAGAATGGCAAGCAGCCACAGAAGCACCTTCAGAAATTTCCAGCCTCCTCCTTCAGGGTATTTATTTGTTACAAAGGAGAAACAATTACCAACAACAATAACATTGGCTTCTGTCTGACTGTGAGATACTGGGTCCTCAGCAAATATTAAGAAGTTAAAGAAGATCACTAAGTAAGCCACAACTAAGCGAGACCATGGGTGCTGGAAGTAGTAGCGGAAGTCTTTATCCATCCTCAGATACTGCAGAACTGTTCTTTGCCTGTATGTGAAGATACAAATGCACAATGTTATATATATATCTCCAGAATTCTTGGAGCTGAGGAGATACCTGCACATTACAAAAATCAAATCACTGTAACCCTGTCATTAGTCATTTTTAACGCTTCAGACTTGACTAGCAGTGAAAGTTTCAATTAAAAGATACTGTTAGATCCAGGTAGAGAAAAACTGAAATGTCTGCCCATTCCAATGTAAAAACAACAAATAAACTTATATAGATTATAGCACAGGATTTTTAGTCTCAAACATTTCTGTGTTCTCTCTTTCAAAGAACAGCTCCGTAGTGGGGCGGGAAAATACAGCATGTAGGAACATGACAGGTTACGTGAAACTCAGAGCGCCTTTCCAGCCACATTCCAAAAAATACAACACAGATTTCGCAAATGTTCATGCTAAGCCTAAACTGAACCTTTCTCCTTGCAGGAAAAGGGTGGAACAAGCCCGTAAGTCCAGTGAAGTCTTCTACTGCCTCATCTCCTAGAAGCTTACAAGCATATGCCCCAGCAACATCAGAAACTTGTGTTCGTATGAAGGAATAACATGATGGAAAAGTTGCTGGAATTAACCCTCGCAGCTCAGGCAAGTCTGTGGAAATATTTTCATTGACTTGAGGGAGTACACCTATAATTAAGCATATTTTCAAAACCAGAAAATAAGAGTGCCCTGAGCACAGACTGTTTTGTACGAATACAAAAATTGTATTTTGAAACTTGCCTACTGATGAAGTACTGCTATGGAAGAAAACAACTGAGCATGGTTACGTTTCAGTTGTTTGCCATTTGATTTCTTTTTCTTTTATTCACAACAAATTGGTTGTTTCATCCTGTTGAACCACTTTGTATGCACAAAGATACAAGGCCTTTGTGTTGTGGAACACCACAATTATTCAAGGGACACAGCATGTAGGAAGAAAAGGAAAAAAAAAAAGGAGTATATAATAATATTGCTTGTTTATTACAGCAGGATCCTTGAAGGATACAGTGTACTTAACTGATCGGTACAGATTTTTGCAAATGTCATATGTGCCCCACAGGAAAAAAAAACCCAAACCCAAATCACAGCAGAAGACCTAAAAAACCCAATCTATTACTCATCCCTTCTTGGACTTCTGACTAAGTATCACTTTGCAAACTTAAGGAAAGGCTTGAATTACAATATCTCCCTTCAGGTAGTCGCTTTAAAATAATTTAACTCTATAATCTGATTTATATGTGTAACATTAGAAGGAATCCTGTACCCAGTAAATCAAAAGGATAAAACAACCTCAGCAGATTCAGACAACGCATTCAGTAAATAATAAAAATTAATAATGTCCCACTACGCATAAATTACATGTGAAAAGGAAAAAAAAAACACATTAGAGAGTTAAAAAGTTGGCACAAGGAAGCGTCAGCGCTTTGAAAACTTTATGAATAAAGTGATTTAAAGCAAGGGTGACTGGCCCAGCAGCCTAAGAAAATACCACTTTGGGGAGATAAAGCCGCCTTTAGAGCCATAAGGATGCCCAAAGCTATTTTACGTTCTCCGTTAAGGGGAAGAAAAGTTTTGGTATTTCCGTAGGTGTAGGAACCACCCTAAAGCCGGACCGGGGCCGGAGATACATAAACAACTATAGGTCCCGACATTTTTGGCAGCTGCCGGCTACCCGAGAGTGACCAGCCACCCACCCGAAGACGCAGCTCCCCGGGAAGCCTTTGCCAGCAGAAAGCAGCCCTTATTTGCAACAGCACCGGCGCTAAATCGCTAAGAAAAAAACCCCCAAACCCAAAAAAAACAACAAAAAAACCCGCTACCTCCACGCCAAAACACCCGCGGTGCCCACAAACCCCCACGCCCACCTCAACCTGTTAAATCCATTCCCCCCCCACGCCGGGGC